ACCATGAATACAGAATTGAAAATGTTTGAAAATTCGAATATCTCCCTGTTCTACTTACAAGTACTGTAGATGAGAGGTAAGAAATGAAGCCAGCTTACAAAAAGGTAGTAGAGAGGTTGAAAGAAGAATGTAATTAAATCTAGATATATAAGAGGAGCATTGAAGATTTGGGTATATAAGGCTTTTATCAGGCCAACACTACTACTATAGATGCGATTTGTGGGTCTTGACTAGAAAAAATAAAGATACTAGATAGAAAAATACTAAGTAACATATATGGTGGTATGATATAAATTGGAATTTGAAGAAAGCAAATGAATGAGGAACTGAAAGAACAATGTGAGGAACTTTTCGACAGTAGCGCAAAATGCAGCGGTCAAGACGGCTGGATCATGTTGGTAAAAAGGCCTGACACGCCATGTAAACTAGTTCTAGAAAGTTTGGGATTCAAGGTAAAGGAAGACCAAAACTATAGTGGTTAGACGCTTAAAAAAAGACCTAGATATTTCGAAGGTTCAGCAGTGGAAAGATAAAGAACTGGATAGAGGAATTTGGAAGATTATCACAATTGTGTATGGTATATCATTGATAAGAACATCATCAGACTTGATGAGCAATACGACAGTTACCTGCGTACGGTTGACGGCTTTATACACAACAGGTAGCGATACATTAATTAACGTATCATGAATAAAGGTTTTGGTTGTACCACATATCGAAGCCAAACACAAAATACCGTTCTCTTCCTGTAAATTTCCCCAGGCAGCATCATTTTCCATTCCAAATAAGTATCCCACGTGTGAAAAAAATGCCGCTGGCTTATTCGCATTTAAGAGTAGGGATGGACAACCTCGTTCTTTTTGGTGACTCGGATTCTATATTGATATGAGCTACAGATTCTCAGGATGCAGTCAACGTAAAACATCTATGGAAAATTCGAGGTTTGGGCGATTTAGACGGCATCTTCAGGTACACCTGTGTTTCTAAAAGTGTCGCTAAAAATATTTGATTTGATGCCAGATACATGTTGGTAGTTTGACAGCAGATCAACGACTCGTAACTTTGAAAAGCGATATATACATGATGATACACCATTGTAACACAATTGAAGACATAAGTGGATAAAGGTGCCATGTAAATTTTTTTTGTAAAATTGCATTTTTGCAACAAACTAACGTTAAGGAGTGCTTCTTTCATTCTGTGATTACTTTGTTGCAAAACAAGATAATAACAAACTAACTAAAGTAAATCTTTAAAACTCCAATAAAGTAAAAAGTTCCAATAAGGAATGTTTAAGTTCAATTTTATCCATACAATGATTTTGTTACACGATACCTTTATCCACTTGGGTCTTCAATTTATTTTTTATATTACAGTCGAAGATATATGATACCATGATCAGTTTGTTCATATGTTCTTGAACTTTCCTAGTCGGTTAGAGTTTTCCTTTTTATGCGTTGTTATGTAGTTCAGTACATTGAACATGTTTTCTTTATACTAAGTTTATCACATTTATCTACATATGTTACTTTTTAGCAACTCCCTTGTTCGTTTGAATAAAATATTTTATTTTTGCATACCTTTTTCGAATTGTTGAATTTACTCCAAAATTGGTCACGACGTTGCAAATTTTGTTTCTACTTCAACCCCGTCTGGAATCATCTGGTGATGACTTCGGACCCAAACTTAGCACTTACTATTTTCAGGAGTATTAACTAATCGTCAGATTTGTAATCCACTTATCGTTACCAATTTTCACATGGACTGAATCCCATGTATAACCTGAATTGATGTCATCGGTCAGGAGTCCACAACTGTAAGATCGAACCAAAGAAATCGTTCTTTCCAGACCATCGGAACTGAACCCCTTCTCTCCTTTGGAACGATTCATCCCGAGCCGACCCAGCTCTATTCACCGGTGTTCATATTCACATTCGCTAACGAATTTTGTAGATTACACCCTCTGACAAAAGCCCACCCACTCCCCACTTTTCCAGTTAATGAAATGAAACCAGCCGATTTACGCCACGTCGGGATCCGCGTTTGGAAAAAATCGGTTGGATCCTCGCAAATCCCAACTGAACCAGTTCCCAAAGCGACAGCATGTCCGACAGACTCAAAGTTGCGTGTGAATGCCGAAGGCATTATGGCAGTGTTAGTTTCTGTTGGACGTTTACCGGGCATTATTACAAATTTTTTGATGTCATTGCTACCTGGTTTTTGTTTCTAAATACGACCCGTTTTCAAAGCGGTGTGTCGTCTATGAGGTCATTTTGTTCATAGTCATTAGCTGCATGCGCAGAGGGGGTATCTGCACCTAACATGGAATAGGGAAAAAGGCGTCCAAAATTTGGACCTCTTATTCATTTGTACTGACACGTCAAGCGTAAATGTTAGAAAACTATTGTATGTTAGGGTCGAAAAGGTTTGCCAATGAGTAGAGGAAATGGCACTGATTTACTAGGTATCAACAACCAAATATGCCCACAAATTGCCTTTGTGCTTATCATAGCGGTGTATTTAATTAATATAACTGACAATGCTCTATGACATCCATTTGATTGAACTAGATGCTAGACCTAAACAATAAGTTTGTCTCTGTGAGTCTGTATCATTTTTTGTTAGACTTGAGAAACGCTATAGGCAAAGCCATAGCCTGAAAACAGCGCAGAATATTGATCTTCACCCTCTTTATATGGATATAAAGGTCCACGAGCAGAGAATACTTGCGTTGATCAGATATTTTACAAAGCTATTCGGGGTATTCCTTAATACGATTCTGCAAGTAATTTTATGACTAAAAGCTTATGTCCGTAATGCCTCAAACCTTTAGTTACAAGATGTTTTTATTTTATATTTTCGAAAATATTTTATATATCCTTTTATTTTTGTCAGGATATAACAGGATATATAATAAACTATTTTAGTGTGGAAAGTTATTGCATTGTGCCACCAGTGGTGACCTTCCTAGACATGTCTTGTAATATTTTTGACAAAAAAAAACACAGGTGACTGCTAAAATCAGTATTTTCTCTAGTTGATCATTCCTAGATAAAAAGGCTACTCCTACTGTTTTCTTTTCAGATGGAGCATTCATCTTAAAAACGACACAATAGTGACCGCTAATCAAAAAAAATATTCACCTAGAAAACGATTTTTTTCCTGCAAATTCAACAGCCTTGTAGTAACAACTCTAAGCCATTGCAGAAATATGGTCATGTGAGCTTTTATTCACGAATCATATCCTGGAATGATGGCGTCATCAAAGAGCCACCTATATAATTTGATAGACAATAAATATTTTGCCATCAAAGAGTTTTAACCTATTCTATGAACAGAAATGGTAACACATATCCTCCAAAGCTCAAACGTAAAATTTAGCACCTAAGAAGTGATGCAATAGCGTCTAGCGAAGAAGAAACAACTGGACTGTCACCTGGAGACAGATAAACAAAAATACACTGGCATTGATTGCACTTGAAAAAAGCCACCGTGGTAGCCGAAACGTCGTACAATAGAAACTAAAACATATATGTCGGAGATAAGGATAACATTCAAAAGTTAATCTATAATAAGACGAATTCTGCGGTACATTTCCTGAGAATCAAAACACCTCTGGTAAACCAATCCGCAGCTCACCTACAAGATCGCACCATCAAAGGGGTCTGTACTCATAATGATGTAGTGGCGTTGTAGTCCAAGATCGTTTATCTTTATCTAGGTCAGACCATATGCGCCACGTAGCAACTGAAGCCAAGAAGCTTCTTTACATGCTAGAAGGGTCTTTCAGAGGATTCGACATCAACACCTGCGCCTTCATTTACAAGACATCTGTAAGGCCAATTTTCGAATTTGTTGGTCCTGTATGGGAAACTGTATTTGTGCGCGACAGATGTCTTCTTGAGTAAGTATAGCGTCGGGCAATTCGAATCCCATTTGAAGCACGCAGACCCATCTGTAAAGATCCCCTCGAGTTATTCCACCAGACCACACTCTCCAAGCAAAGAATTCGAGGTGATCTCATAGTTACTGTTAGAATACTTCATGACTTGATTAGCACCCATAAACTGCAAAAATAGCCGTTTAGAACGACTGTCCGACCGTGGTTTCTCCATAATAGCATATTTACCTCTAATATTTTGCCAGAAAGTGTGGTTGATGCTATGTCAGTGAAGAGCTTCAAAGTGTATTACATTAGGTGTTACAGTGAACAAATTCTATAGCTATGATCTTTTTGTTTCTATTTTATGTATTTTACGCTAGTTATCCGTAGATCACGTTTTGCTTCAGTGCCTGAGCTTATAGCATTGCTTCTATTTTGTAATAATAACAATAGAGGCTGTTATTTCTTGGTTCATATCCAGTTAGGGATCTACACAGATGGAAAAGCATATGAAGCAACGCATAAGGTGTCCAATGCCAGCCATGTTTCTTCATTTGTCCCACAGCCGCTGACTGCTTTTACAAAAGCGGCAGTAAATAACCCCAAGCATTACCCAGATATTCTTACGGGAGCTCTTCGGAACACATCCTAAAAGGCGATTATGGCTCCCAGCGCATCCATCTCGCGTTATTAAGGTGGCATACCCCGCGACAACTTCCTTACGCAGGACTTTTAAACGGAACGTGTTATTTACACGCACGCTAATGGTTCTTTACTGCTCAGTTGGTAACGTATGTTAGTACGTGATGACCGTACGCCAGAAGAAGCGTTATCGTGAAAAGAAGGATATACGTGAAATCGTTCAAAGAATTCAGAATATAATAGAAAATTTTATTATTATCAATAATAACAAATAATCGATGTCTCTTCTTCACTACAAAAACATTGCAATGTAGCTAAGGTAAGACTGTTAATCATAATAGTCACTAGCAGATATTAATAATGAAATATTATTTACAACAAATTTCAATTTTTAGTAATAAAAAAAATTCTGTCCAAAGCAAAGTACGTCAGTAAGTGGAATAAAAAAAAACTGATGATGAGTATTGTTTATACGATTTTCGTAAGGCATTATATTTGGTGCCAACATTGCAGCAGAAACTGCGTAGGAATAGGGTTGTTGAATACTGGTGTATCCTGATAATTTTATCTCTAAGTGGATGTCATTGTTGGATGAATTTTTTTCTCAAGTAAGGCGGTTTAGTCGTAAGCAATAATTTATGGATGAGAACTGCGAAATCCAATAATGAATCGGACATAATTATTTTTGACGATTTAGATTATTTTTTTGCCGTGTAAACATATAGTAGATTACAGTAATTTAGAACAGAAATGAGCAAGGATTCACATAACTTTCTACGTAACTTGGAATTTAGTAGATACTTGTTTGCAATTAGAGTATGTAGCCTTCGATAAACACAAAGAACTTTTGCATATTTGCAAAACTGTAGGGTTTGATTACATATTGGAATCGAGATATATCGGAATTCTCTCAAGAAAATGGACAATGTAAGAAATTTAGGTGATATAGTTGATAGCAAACTTCGGTTTGAGTACCACCTCAACAAAATAGTGTGCAGATTTGTTATTAAAATCAGGAGATCGCTCTCGTTAAAACTTAAAGCCATGCTCTGTCATGCTTTGTTCGTTTAATGTTCATATTTGCAAATTTGAATATATTTCCTCCAAGTACATTTTTTATTAAAATATAAGTATCATATTACTTCTTAGCTATTATAATTTTTAGTCTGTCGTAAATGTCAAAAAGACAAAATTTACAAAATTACATTACATAATTTGCGTTTTTTGAAATTATAGCAAAAAATCATCGAAAACATTGATCAACTGTAAAACGAATATAAGAAATACTTTGCTCAAGTATGTCAGGTTCAAATGCTTTATTTCGGTAGCAGCTGTCACTTATTAGCGTATGCTCGTCATTTATTATGGAAGATTTCGACATTGTAATATCCCTAAGTCACAAAATACATACAAAAGCCCTTGTGCTAAATTACAAACCTTGCTTTATAATACTTAAGTTTAAAAGTCTGAAGTAATTATTACTTAATTCTAATAGTATCATTATAGTCAATTTTCGGGACCTCGGTTGGCCGCGTGGGTCAGAGTGTCGTGCTACTGATCAGCCGGCCGGCCGGGCCGCGAGTTCGAATCTCGCCTTCGCCATGGATGTTGTGACGTCGTGTGTTTGTCCATAATTAGAAATGTAAAATATAACAACCTCGTTTCTGGCTGCATGGATTAGGTCCTAAAGCCAAAAAAAAAAAATAGTCAATTTTTGAAATAATTAACTTTTTAAAGAATGTAGATCAAAAAACTGCTAACCCTACACATTCTATACCACTTCTGTCAGTACTGGTAAGCATTGAAAGTAATATGAGATTATTTCAATGGACTGACAAAATTTGCAACAGCCAGACAGAGACCAAGACATCATCAATTTTGGGGGACCAAGACCAAGACTATGCTAGTTATGTTTCAAGGCCAATACCACGCAAGTTTTCGTCCTGCTCTTGGTCTTGCGAAGCCCTATAACTGCGGTCCACGTTTAAGCAACTTACAAAGACGTAATGTACAATTCGTTCAAAATTCCTGCCTTCGTCCTGCACTTGGAGGTTGGTTAAATGTGGATAATCGTAAGCTCCTCTACCCATCAATCTACTTTTTTATTGCATACAGCTTAGGGGATACAGGCTAAGTAGAAGTGCATGTTGCTGGTACTGTGTATCAAGTAATCTGAAGTTATCACTTCATCGACTGATTTAGATTATTTTGTTCTTTATTCATCGTTTGGTTGATTTGGGTCAATAATAAAGATGGTTATTATTAAAACTTACAGACTTATGCACATTAAAAAGGTAGAGGAGGCGTTTGGACACCTTAAATGCAAAAAGTTTTAGTAACGGATATTATTAGGAAAAAATTAATAATCCAGACCTTGCCTCCCTATCTGGCCACTTTTTCTTCAAACGTCCGTCCTCCCAAGAAATGTTTATTAATTGCTTGGGAGCAACATTGAAAGTTTAAACAAAACTATCGGTACCTTATATCTTTCAGGTTGATTTAAGTCATTCGGGGGATTATAGTTTCCTGTACTATAATAATCCAGATACCCCGAATCCCTTTTAAGGACGCCATTGGTGATTTATGATTTTACTAACGTTGTTTTAAAACAACCCTTTGTTTATACGTATATACACCTTTTATGAGCAAATTTATTCCTTTGCTGCAAGTCATTTCCTTCAAGACAATAGGTACTATAACATTAAATCTCTTACTTCAGCTTAGTTACAGCTCAACAGCTCTATTAAAAAGTTGAAAGACAGGCTTCTTAGTTATGCTTTGCTTCTTTAAGGTCTTGTAATCTAACAAAATGACATAAGCTCCAACACGTGATAGGAAAATTTCCGTGTTCACTGCTTAAATGCACAATAATGTGGGGGTGCCAGCATGGACGGAGAGTTGGTGAAAGGCATTTGAAACCATGACCTAGAACACAAAAACACAATGCAACTGAGTGCTTCTATGGGCCCCTTTTCATACATTTCTTAAGTCTCTTTCCGAAAAGGCCTTTATTTTTGGAACCAGTCAGCGAGTTGAAATTCCTGGACATGGATACTAAATCTTGTCGTAAAAGTAATAATTCAAAATTTTAAGATGGCGGCTAGGAACCATCTTATAATCTTAAGAATGTTTGTTACTTTTAATGGATTATTACAATAAATAATCATTTGAAAAAATATGTAAAGTTTCTTATTCTTAGAGCCGTTTTACACACAAGAGAATTACTACGAAAATTATAGTTATAATTATGCCGAAAATTTTTGCTGTCGTATTACACCTAAAAGAATTCTTGTGAAAATTTTCATGGTAAAAATATAAAACCCGTTCTATAGTATATGCGCGAGAATCGGCGCAGAGGGTTATTTCCGTGCATATCATTATCAAATGCCAACGTCAAGAACATAACCTCACTTAACATTTGTGGGTGTGGTCCTGTTCGAGTCGTACGAAGAAGCGTTTATTTTTGTTTATTCATAATGTCGTGGAATCGGGAAGGAGTACCAAAAATTGCCAAACCTGTACAAGGTGAAGTCACCCAATTACAAAAACAGAAATTTGCGGCGTCAGGCGCTGGATGCGATAGTCCAAGCATTGAGAAGTTTGATAATATTAACCAAGACCTCGATTTCAAAAATAAATTTAAATCAACGACGTCTGTTCTCTTTCCGATTATATTGGACGTCATACCCGTTAAGGTTATGTCCATTCGAAAATATTACTCTAATGCACAGGCGTATCATATAAATTACTCGGAAATTTTGTTTGCTTGTGTCATACAGGTTGTAGAGAAAATCTTCATATTTTTTCCAAGCAAATTTTCGGCATAATTATGACCATAATTTTCGGAGTAATTCTCTTGTGTGTAAAACGGCTCTTACGGAAGAATTTATTCAGCTGAGTGTGAAATGGAATATACATTTTTTTAATGATTTATCTTATGATTTATTATATATATATATAACCAGGTAGATTTTTTCAAGAAAATAAGATTGATATCCATAATATAGCGTTTTGATGATTGATTGTTGTTAAAAGCAATTCAATATACAATTATGCTTAAATTTGACGGCTTGTCGGCCCGTCATTTTGAAAGTTAGTAAGCTTATGTCCTTGAAATCTTTTACTTTTGCACTGGAATATATTCTTATCTTACAACTTAATCGTTCCAATTTTCCGCTTTCTGACAGACCCATTCAAAAAGTAAGTAGGGGAAAACCATTTTGAAAAGCACTGCATAAATGATATTTATAAAACTAAAATATGTGTGACCAAATAGACAGATTCAAGGTTATGCGAAACTGCAAAGAAAAAATACAAACAGCAAGCTCGCTGTTGATTTTTGTTTTACCTGCTTTACCTTTAGGTACTTCCTACGTTCTTCAAAGGGTTCGCTACGCTCTTCTGTATGTCTAACCTGAGTGATCCAGTAGTAAGATTCTGGACCTGTAAATCACACCTAAGAACCAAATAAAGCCTTTGGACATAACCCATTTCAGGAGTGATTCCTGTACCTCTGAATCAAACACAGCAGTGAAACAACAACATAGATTGAATATTTTTCCATCCATAAAAAGACAATGCCTATACTTGGATCAGTCGTATGTTGCTTGCCCAAAACCTCAAAAAAATAAAACACTCAAAAATACATCAAGGATGTGTACATGTAGAATACGATTAATTTTAATAAATGTTTGATATATGTTCAACAATATGGTGTCTGCCTATTTAGCGTATCCATTTTGTCGAATTCTTCTAGAAACTATCTACACTTCGTGCCGGATATAAAGTCAGGCAATTTTGCTCTCGCTAGGCGATGCTGGTGTGGTTAGGGGTCAAAGTGTCAAAAGTATTTGAGAAAGAGACAGATTTGAGAAACATGTATTTACCTTTAACGATACTTGGTCACTTTGTCCGTTTATGACCTTAGATATGACCACCAACCTAACAAGCGCTACTTCTAAGTTTCTAGATTATTCGGGCTTCTACAGGGAACACTCCCGGAATAATTCTAGAAGTACCAGTGGTCAATCGCAACACGGCACTGAAATCAACCGACCAATGGGACGTAAAATTAAAACGGTTCTGTGGAACCCGAACTCAGTTCAAACCAAAGGTGGTAAAGTCTACACTTACCTCAAAATGCGTCATTTCAGAACTCATTATTTTATAACCAATAATTCCACAGTCTGCTATTATTGGTGAAGCTCTCAAAAACAGGCATTGTCCACATATTGATCGCACCTGTTATTGAATTAATATGACGTTTCTCTCTTTATGTGACAGAACAAAATACACAGCCGGCCATTTATTCGACTGTAATTATTATTTATAACGAGAGTTAATAGAATCGGGGCTTCATTTAACTGAACAGTACCAGTTTTTTTAATTAGCTATCAGGAGTGATTGATATATTGGGTTAATAATGGTCTATATTACTAGTAATTTTATTCTCCATGTATATGCAATGGTTATGTGCATACCTGGGAATCCATGACATTATTGCCATACAGGGTGCTCCGTACTTAAACGGATGCAGTGAAATGCTAAGTCCTTTGAATGTTTTGTTAAACAATATGGAACCTCAAAGATATCCATTTTCTAGAGGCATGACTCCTTTTTGGAGGTAGTAGTTTGAGAAATACTAATGGTATTGCATAATCTAACCACAATACAAAAGAATGAAGAAAGTCCTCATGGTGAATGCATTTTGTGTATTTTTCCAATTGAACATTGTCAGAGCCTTTTGAAGTATATTATCTCCAAGAATAGAATACAGTATGTCCCATGTTATTTTAAATCAAAGTTGAGTCAGAAGAACTGTACCGAGTCCCGCTCAAGAGTGTGATAAAATTTTTAAAACCTGTAATTACAAACGTATGTGGATACAGAATCTAAAATAAGCATGAAATATAATTCTATATCGTAGCTAAAATTAAATTTAATTAAGAGGTGTGCAGCGGGGCTTGCTCCAGTTTTTTCGCGTCTCTTCCAGACATGTCCATAGAACTGGAAATTTGCTGATGTTCAGTCGATCTCAAAGGAAGATTTAAAACCGACCTCACAGCTACAGCTCTGCTTTCTGTTGTGATACGACCGCTCCTTTGTCCCTCGGGTATTGAGATTGTCGAACAATCGACAAGAATAGGCTTCTCCCAGTTCTGCTGACCTTAGACTGTTCAAAAATCGGACTAGCAAAGCTCCTTTGATGTAAAAAGATCGGTTAATTATGATATTTTAAAATATATCAGGAAATCTCTCTGTTCGCATTTCTCAAAAATCAAAATTACATGACAACTTTGCTATTTCTAATTCATCCTCTAGCATCAGTAGTTTTTAAAATATGGAGTAATTTCCGATTTCAAAGAACTCGGCAGGTAAGGCTGCACTTTTAGCTGCCCATGTCTATATGCGTGGCTGTCCAATGGCATTTAGGCTGCCCGGTGTACATGATTTTCCAACCTCTCAATTGACAGTCAGTATAAAATATATATAATTACATGACACAACCTGTAGCATTTTCACATATGTATCCAATTCCACGTAAACAGCCAACCCCTTCATATATTTGTAACAGCAATCTATTCTAAATATACGCATGCAGGTATGTGTACGGCGATACGCCTGTATTATTAAAAACGAATGTGCTATTGTTTATTTGCCCGATCTATAAATATAGAAATGGCTGACGTAGGGTTAGGGCTATCGATTACGAAAATTATTAATAATTGTTTGCAGCAGAAATAGCGGAGCATGAAATATGTAGGGCACAGCGCGCATATTTCCTGTCGGTGTTCCTGGAAACAGGAGAGCAGCTCAATAACAGTGTATGTATGTCTGCATGTCAAGGACACGTGGTAGAAGGAAAGAGCCCTAAATCGGACCTGGTCTCAGTGGCCTCTTCATTATCCGACAGTTCATCCTTACCAAGTATAATCAGAGAATATACTTGTTTTACAATCAAACTTCTCGCCTTAGTACACCCCTGTGCAGAAAGTTTTTAGAAGACCCGTGTATGAAAAAAGTTTCAACCACGGAATTTGCGTATGAAGTGAATGAAAATTTTATCTGCAGAAAGTACAAAATGGCGACCGGTGGCGTTTTTGTGAGGGTTGTCGCATAACAAAATGCTGTCGCTGACATCGCTGCTCTCAAGAGCTTTATCTGACATTTTCCTCGGTCCACGTCCGGGACCGATTGATTTTCCATTTCGGAGTTTTTCCCTTGCTAGGCCGTTTCCCAATGGAGACGTTGGGAATGAACTGGTTAAGTTGGATAACCGACTAGCGGCAGATTTTAGGACTCCAGCGCGAAGAGAAATGTAAGATCGTGGTTACATTGTTTGCTTTCTCCCCATAGCTTAGTGCATGTAATATTTCTGATGATGTAGACTATTTAGCCATCCAGATTTTAAAGAGATTTGTACAAAAATTGAACGAAATTAAACTTGATTATTGACAAGGGGAAAGGTCAGCATGTATTACACAAAACAACGCAATGTTAAGCATTATACTCGCAACTAGCATCCGGTCTTTGGAATTTTTGCTTGCAAAAACGCCTTTTCTCCGAATTTTATGTCCCCAAACCAACTGGAGTCTTTATACAAGCATTTATTTAACTTGATCTGTTTGTTGGTATTGTATGTGTGGGACTACTTGGGACAACATTTTGAATCACTTAACCTTAACCAATTGAGCTGAAATCTTATATGCATGTTTGGTTTGTCTGTCAATACAAAATGAATTAATTGCCGCCATTTTGAATCCAATACGGCGGATGAAAAAATGGCGATTCGTCATTTCCGTAGGAAAAACTATGATAGGGATATCAAATGGAGGGGTCGATAAGAGAAACGAAATAAGCAGGTGATGTCATTCTAAATACAATATGGCGGCTGTCTCGGAATGACGATTCAGTAGTCCGAACGATATGGGTATCAAATGGAAGGATTTGAAGGTAGGAACACAATAAGCATAGTGACCAAAATTTAAACGAAAGTTACACATTAAAGTCAGCGTACAGAAACATGTATGTACAAGAAAAAACTATACAAGATATACATGATATTTAGCACTCGATGGTAATGCACTATGGGTAAAGAATTTATGAAATAAAAAAGTTTTGTGAACAGGCATAGATAAAGCGTCAGTGAATCGAATGTTTCGTGAATGGATATACTCAAGAAATATCAATTTATAATAAATTAATGGAGGTATGTACGAATTTTGTGAACATACCATAATAAATTAAACTTATAGAACTTTGGAACTAATACAATATATTCTTAAGTTAAAAATCCATATACAACATGAATTTTAAATGTTTTGTAGACATTTAGCTGAGACTGAATCTAGAAATGGATAGTATACTAAATCACAATATGTGATCTTTGCTTTTATTAAAGATTCCCATAATTTTCTGGGATCTAAAATCAAGTTTTTTTTTTATTTGAGGACGGATGCCGTAAAACAATAAAGCAATTTTAGTTATATTATTCACATGACAAATAGATTTGAGATTTTCATCTATAAACAAATCTAAGTTTTTAACTGATCCTTCTATCTAAATAGCAGGGCAGGTTAAGGTAATACTCAAATTATTTTTAATAAAGGGTTTTAGATTTTCAGCAGGAAAAATAATGACTTTGTAGCGGTTGCTCCCGCGAAAACTACATCAAATTGAGTTACTTTAGTCTTCGATGCAAAAAATCACGGAAAGCCTAACTTACTGTTAGACCTACTGTCTGACTTACTATGATTTTCGCGGCATAGTTTGAGGTTACGGTAATTAATAGCGAAAACGTTTCAAGAAGTAGCTGTATGAAAAGAGCAGTTTTTTAAGCGAACTAAAATGAATTCAACAACCAAAATAATTCTGGAAGATGCAAAGACCGTAGTGCAGTTGCTGAACCGTTAAATTCAGGTAAGTAGGTTTCATAAATAATGATGAATTATTTTAACACAACAAAAAGGTTCATACATAGCAACGTCTTCTGCACATTATTCATTGGGATCTGTCTCATCACAGTCTGTTTCTCTCATGCCTGTCAAATAAAAAAGTTCAACAGAGAATTGAACTACTACAGTATTCGGTTTTGCTAAGACGACATTCACGTGTTTGCTTCTCGTTCGTTCATCTCCAAGTCTGGACCTGATACAGACCTATATTACAAACCTATATCGTACTGATGAGGGCTAAATATCCCTGTCTGTGGTTGGTCGTGGACCCGTTAGTTTTAAATAAAAGGTAAAATCGGAAAATTGGAACAAAGACGATTGTGGAGAAAGTTTGAAAATAAATAAGTATCTCTTGAAATGAAATATAAGTTTGACTATACTGATAATCTCACGATAGTAACATTAATTATTAGAGAATGAGACCGCAAAACAAAAGCTTCAGGAACTACCTTTGCTGTACATAAGCTTGCTTTCGGTATATGCTAGAAAATTAAGTGGTTTATTAGACCTATGTAAATAAAAAGCAAACA